TTTCTACCCTGAAGGTGACGCTGTGAATTTATTCAGTTTCATCCCGGGAGTCCAGCTGCTGGCTCTCTCCCCATGCTGATATTAGCAACGGATCCCGCCTCTTCTCTGCCTCTCTCAAACCGCCTTTGTCTAAACCCCAGCAGCAGGTTGCTTAAGCCCAGCCTTTTTCCCTCCCTCTGCCTCCCCACTTGCATCTGCTAGCTGATTCACTAAAACTCCCATAACTCCTCTTCCCCTGCAGATTGAGTTTCTCAGATCTCTTTTCCTTCATTTCCCATGTTTTGTTTCCTCCCTCTTGTTATTGCCATTCAGGGAATTAGCACAGTGAGAGCCAAGGTTGAAATGATGTGTTCTGGCAGGCGCGTCGTTTCCTGCTAGTCACCCGACAGGCTGCGGCTCTCACCCCACTCTTGTTGCTCATGGCAATGATCCACAACCTGATCCCTAGACTCTTCCAGTACAATCCACAGGATACGGCGTAGCCTCCATTCTCAAATATGCTGCTGTAATGAAGAAATAACTGAAACGACAAGATCTAAAATAAAAGAAAACCTCACCCATCCTGGCTACTTTGTGATGCTTTCCGGCCCTGCCCTATCCTTGTTTAGAAAATAATACTTGTTTTAGAAACTAAAACAAGAGCTTGCAGGAGTTCCAGTCCTAGGGGATCCAAAACTGTGGGGCTCCTCATCCTGGGACTTGGAGATTAGGGGACAGCCCCTCTCCTCCCACTTCCAGCATCCACTGTGGTGCTTGTCATAGAATGTTGGGGTCAAATGAACAAGTCCTGAGCTATGTCCCCCGATTTAGACGAGACCTTAAAACTTCACTGGAAAGAACGCAAATCCTGGCCACAAATGATGTTCAGATTAGGGGACATAGGGGGTTTAACCACCGAGAGAACATCATCTAATACTCAGAGAAGTGCTTTATACCTGCCCCATTAAGCTTATCGAACACCTAGGAAATGAATATTGTTTTTCTCTACTTGTAAATAGTAGTGTTTTAGCTAAGGAGTATCAAGCACTTTTACTTAGAAGATTCTCATCTTCAACCTTTCACTTTTCCATCAGCTATTTTTTAATATAGATTAATGTATTTTTTAAAAAATGACTTCTAAAACCCCAATGCAACTACTGCATGCCTTCCCATTTCCCCTCACCATTTACCTGCACTTAACACCTCAGAGCTTCCACCCTATCGCATTAACTCACAATGGAGACTGAGCCCTGCCTCACCCCATGAAGAAATAGCGTCCTTTCCCGTGCTTTCTCTCCATCCTTTTGAAAAGTCTCTATCTTGCTATTGAGGGAATTAGTAAGATAATATGCTGACTCCTTGTGTTCAGCATAGGTAGGAAAACCAATGCTAAGCCCCCACGATTCAAGGCACCTGAACTCCAACTGAATGACACCCCACTTCCTGAAAACCCTGTAGTTCTTCATTCTTCTAGCTTTCATTGCTCTCATTTTTCATTCTTCCAGCTTGTACATTATTTTTCTCTCTCCCTTACTAAACTCTCCTAAGACCCATCACAAACAAACTCTATACAGAACCCACCTTTGGATTTTTGGGCCAAGTGGAAAGAGAAAATGTAGCCATTATATGGACAAAGCAGATCAATCTTAGTGTTTCTATGGAGTAGAGTGAAGAGAATGACCTAAAGTTCACGATCATGGAAAACTCAATCCCAAGCTTCTTTTTTCCAAATAATACCTTTAAATATTAGGTTATTGTATATTCTACTGCAAAACAACAGAGAGTAATTTCAGTATCTAGTTCGGCAAATCCTTCTAGCTTAGAATGAATATTAAAATATCTGCAGTTTGACAAAGTGTTCAGTGTACAGATACATAACTTAATTAGGCCAACAGAGTCTGTTTACATTATTTTTCCAACTGGCCAACAACACAGGGGTTCAGACTTACACAGGCTTAGGGGACAGACATTAATAATGTTGCTATATTAAGAAATACAGATACTAGCCAAATTAGGAACTTTCATAATACTTCTGTGTTCAACTCATTACTTCAAATGGCATTGTTTGTGTGATGAAAATATAGCTGTTTTTCCTCTCTGCGTTTTTGGCTGTCCTTGGCTATTAAAAAGTCCCTACAGGAGAACTTCTTAAAAACCTCTTGTTGCAATAGAAGAATGATGTTACCTGTCACCTTTTCTTCCTACTAGGCCATACAACCTGCTTATCCAGAACAGACACCGTGCGTTTTTTTGCTACTGAGACTGAGCAGTTCAGCCCTCGCTACCTGCCTTTGAGTGCAGGCAAGGACAAAGTCAACACTCGGAGGCCTAGCAACCGCACCTTGTCACTCACTTTGGAAGCAATTATTCACGAACTAGCCGATTAACCAGGCTAGACCTGTTTACCCTTCCCTGAGGCCACCTTAAAAGCTTGCTCTTTATTCCATTCAGAAGTTTTTATTTTTGGTACATTATTTAAGAACTTTTCCAATTATGAAGCTGTCTAGAACACAGCTCCAAAATGAAGAGGGTATCCTTCATTTGAAATGATGGAAGACTCAGAATCTCAATGAAATAAAAAAACAATCAAAGAGGGAAAAGAATGTCCTCCAACAGCTCAGCAGCTGTGGGCTTTGCTGTGTGAAGGGGCCAGGTGGCACTTGCCTGATGCTCTAGGACTAGAGGAGAAGGAGTTGAAGGGAGCTGCTCAACAGAGCCTGCTGCCTGCCAGGCTAAGTCAAACGGGGAGGGAGGTGGCAGCTGTTGCTCTGCTGAAAAACTTGGACTTCATCTTATTGCCAAAGGAGCATCACCAAAGACCTAAGGTGGAGGAGCTCGCCCAGGCAATGCACGCCGACAGGAGGAGAGGAACAAGAACAAAATAAATCACGGTGAGAAAGGACACAGCCCGCAAATGCATAATGCACACATTAATAATAATAATAATATTAAATGCAAATAAAGCCTCTTAAACTATGAGGTAAAGGCGCTAGCTGCGTCTTAATTAACAATATTTCCTAGAAACAATTCCAAGGCTCTAACGAGACTTCAGTCCTGTAGAGATTCACAGAACATCAGGTGCTACATTGTTTGTTTTTTCTTAAAGAAAGAAATAAAGATAGGGGAAGGATTTAAAGTCCTGGGGTCACTAAGGAATTAATGGACTTGGAATTAGTGGAAAATCTAGATTTACTTTTCCATTCCCCCAGTGTTGTAATGTAGAAAAATGTACATTACCTTATTTATACTATTTACCTGTTTATATGTTTTGAATGAATGAATGAATGAATGAATGGAGACCACATCCTCCATGGTTCCAGATGCCCATGGGTAAATGCGCTCTTAACTAGAACTGGGAACAGAGCAATTAGTATCTTCTATGTTGACAAACAAAAACTCTGACCAGGGGCTGGCCCGGTGGCGTAGTAGTTAAGTGTGCGTGCTCCGCTGCAGCAACCCGGGGTTCGCAGGTTCGGATCCCAGACGCAGACCTACACACCTCTTGTCAAGCCATGCTGTGGAGGCGTTCCATATAAAGTAGAGGAAGATGGACACGGATGTTAGCCCAGGGCCAATCTTCCTCAGCAAAAAGAGGAGGATTGACATCGGATGTTACCTCAGGGCTGATTTTCCTCAGAAAAAAAAAACAAACTCTGACTAGACTGACTGACCAGATTAAATGACACTAAAACAACCCACAACTTTTAATCAAATTTCTGGGAGAAAGCACGCAAGATGTGTTTTCTCTCATGTGTCAAGGAAAGGTCGCCCATTAACTCCCACACTATTACTAACAGGGCATGGTGCAAAAATCAGGAGACTTGGGTTCTAATCACTTTCTACCTTTATATGATTTATATCATTATATCTGAATCATATATGAACCACATATGGTTATATGATCTTAGGCCCTCACCCGCTTCATCTTTTAAAAGGATGTCCTCCATGGTCCTTTCCAGCTACAATGAGCTATAATTCAGTGTGTGTAAAGGAATCCACTAAGCAGCAGTGATGGAATCCAGTGGGTATGAGCAATGGCCGCTGTCCTATAGGAGATTATATCTTCATTAGGATTCAAAATATGGACAGCTGAAAATATAACCAACCCAACAGGGAAGGCTGCGGATCATTTCCAAACAAGGGAATCTCCACTAAATGTTATGGGAGCTCCGAGTTTTCCTGCGGCTGAGATGGTTAGAAAGGGCTTCCGATGGTTAGATTCAGACACTCAGAGCATGGAGAAGGCTTTCCAGTTGGAGAAATTACAAGAGCGAGCAATAACACAAAAACAGTAAGCCCAATGTGGAGAAATTTCCTGGGGAGAGTTGTGAATCTAGAACTTCTCTGGTGTGGCAGCCAATAAAAACTTTCACATCACTAAACCACGACCTTAAAGGGTTAGAAGGTGAATGCCAGGGAGCAGGGGCTTTGGCCTCCTGTTCTCATTATAATCCAGCAACTCGACCAGGGCCTGACACATACTGCGTTCAGTGTTTTTTCAATAGATCCAGAACGATCTGGGCATCTGAAAAATATAATTTTTAGCTCACTGCTTGCCCACAGTTTTAGTTTATAGATTAAAACAGCATAGGCTAGGAGAGCCCTCCGTGATTTTTTCTTTTAAGGCAATTTCTAGTAATCCAGAGGCGTGATTTTTTTTTTTAATTCTTTTTTTTTTTTTTTTTGTGAGGAGGACTAGCCCTGAGCTAACATCCGATGCCAATCCTCCCCTTTTTTCTTGAGGAAGAGTGGCACTGAGCTAACATTTGTGCCCATCTTCCTCTACTTTATATGGGACACCGCCACAGCATGGCTTACCAAGCGGTGTATCGGTGCACGCCCGGGATCCGAACCTGCGAACCCGGAGCACACGCACTTAACCGCTTGCCCCACCGGGCCGGCCCCCCAGAGGTGTGATTTTACTGTACCAATCACACCAGTTGGTACTTCCTCTCTTCTCTTTCAGTGTGCGCCTACACACAGGCCTAACGATAAACGTACCCCATCAACATTCAACTCTGTTCACGGTTCCCCATGCATCTTTCCTTTGTTTAATTGCATGTACTAATGTGAACTTCATTATACTTTCATAATTGTTCTGAGACTTGTTTTTCCATTCTCAATTAACTGCTATCCTTTAGCTGGGAAAGAAATTGAGGGGACACATGTTTGAGCAGAAACACTAGATTTATAACGTTAAATACTAACAAAGAGCGCTGAAAGGACTGGCACGGATCAAGTGTGTTGAAGCAGCATTTAGAGGCTAGGTTATATTGCAGAAAAGGTTAGGTAAACAAGGTGAGATTGTATCAGTTCTTGGGCTCGTGGATGGCCGTTCTCTGGAACGTCATTGTTGTGTGGTTTGCTTTGTTATTGAAGCAAGTTGAATGACTTAGGGATTCGTTCTTAATTACAAAATATAGGGATTTGTTTTTTCTTCTTGAATTAAGAGTAATTAACAGGAAAGTAGAGAATGGTGACAATGCAATTCACTTTGGACAGCCAATTAAACAATTCTATTCTGGGTGGCCGGATGATTTGTAAATGGAATGTGGTTTTCTTTCTTTTTTTTTTTTTTTTAAATCATGATGATCACAATGCTAAAGAGAAGAAGAAAGAAGATGTTTCTAAAGCACTTCAACTAAAACAACAATTCTGCCGTAACTGAGGAATCTTCCAGTGGGGTTCACTGGGGAAAATGTACCTTCTCCTGGGAATCAATCATTTTACTTTCTACACCATTCATCTAATTAGCAACAGAAGAAGTTGTTGTCTAGATCACGGAACTCAAAGCATTATTTCCAACTCTCATTTCAGAGCGGGGAAGAAGTTTAACACACAGAATTTTAAAGGCCTAGGGGGCAGGTCCAGAAGGTGGTCCTGCTAGACCATATCATCATAGCATGAGCTGAAGCGATCTGCATCTGATTTTGATGTAGCAAAGGTATCATGGAAACAATTCCTGGATACTGAAGGATGCTAAGCAAATACTTGCAAAAGACAGCATACACAGATTCAGATAGGCAAATGTCAGAGCATGCGCAGATAGGCGGCAATCTTCTGGTGGCATGAACATAGCAAGTAAAAATGTGAAGAGTCTGAAATCTAGGGGCTTAGAAAGTGAAAAATAAATGGTCCCAAATAAGTCACAGCCAATTCACTTTTCAAGATGAAACTTACCACTGAATTTACATGTGGAAGTTAATTGCTTAACCCTGGAAGAATAACTGACACTATTGTTTTACCAAAACATTTGTTTCTAAAAGTATTCAGCCAGACTAGGTATATATATGGCTTGGGGATAAGGACAGTTCAGATTAAAAGTTTATAACCTTCTGTTTAACATCTTATCACTGGAAGGGTTGTTAAAACACAAATTGCAGGGCCCCCACTCCAAGAGGTCAGTAAGTTCCAGGTGGAACTTAATAATTTGCATTTCTAACAAGGTCTTGTGACCAAAGTTTGAAAACCAATAGACCAGAGACCAAAATTCTTGTTTTTTCTCAATGACCCCCTGATCTATTTTCCTTTGACCAAGTGATATACTGTAAAACAAAACAAAACAAAACAAAACAACCAGTGTCTCAGGATAAGCAATACTATACAATTTGGAAATACTAAATAAATATGAACTAAAATGGTGGATGTTCACTCTGATCCCTTGAGTAAAATTTACTATGGAAAGCTAATCAGTGCTCCTAGGAAGAAGGGAAGAAAATGGATATACAGAAAGGTGCTAGTGCTATTACTTGAATGAGGCAAATGCTTGCAAGACTCCTAGTTGCAAGTCTCTCCAGCCCCAAACACAATCTCCAATTTACTGTACACAGCGAGCACACTCAGTCTTTCACAAAACATGGAACAGGATTATTTACCGACAATCACTGCTATTTTGAGCATCTAGTGTGCTATAAACTGAATTAGAGGAGGGTGTGGGAGAAGGATAAATAAATAAATAAATAAATAAATGAGAAAAAGGCGGAAAATACCAGGTATTGATGTAGCTGTGGAGCCCCTGGGCTGCTCGAGCACTGCGGGTGGACGTGTGCATTGGTACCACTCTGGAAAACTGGCGATGTCTACTGAAGTCGAGCACAGGCATATCCTATGACCAGCAATTCCTGTCCCAGGTATTCACTCAACAGATATACGTACGTGTTTATCGAAAGACATAGAGCTCCATATTCACTGCAGCCATATTAATAACAGACCAAAATGCCCACCAACAGTTATTATGTAGCAGGGTTTCTCAATCTTGGCACTATTGGCATTTTGGGCTGAATGCTTTGTTGTAGGGGCTTTCCTGTGCATTGTAGGATGTTTATCTGCATGCCTGGTCTCTCCACACTAAATGCCGGTAGTACCCCTTGCCCCCCCCCAACCAAAAATACCTCTAGATATTGCCAAATGTTCCCTAGTGAGCAAAATCGTCCCTCCCCACTTTACACACCTCTTTCTCTCTATACAGCAATGAAATGAATAAATACAGCTGCCTACTACAGAAAAAGGTGAATCTCACAAACATAACATTGAGCAAAAAAAGTCAGACAGAAAAAGAGTACATAATGTACATTTCCATTTATATAAAGGACAAAAACAGGTAAAAGTAACCACTGCTGTTAGACACCAGGGTAGTGACTAGGGTGCTGGTCATGTTCTGTGTCTTGATGCTGGTTACATGGGTGTGTTCAGTTTTTAAAACTGTATCGAGTGATCACTAATGATATGTGCACTTTTCTATATTATACGATACTTCACCAAAAATGAATGAATGAATGAATACAATGAGTCATGGTCCTTCTCCCAGAAATACTCTTCCAGGGAACTCTTCAAGGTGAGTAGGGATCAGGAGTCCTTCTTGAATAACTAATATTTATGGGTATCACTTATGATCAAATACTCTGCAGTGCCCCATACCAGAGCCCACATCACTTCTTCCTTAAGCAGGCTGACTACCAGAGTGTTTCTGCTCTGGTTCCCGACACCAGCCACCCTCAGCCATGATCCAGCCACTACTCCTTCCTACCAGTGAGCAATGTCCAGCGGAAAAGGAGCCAAGAGAAAACAGAACAGGAGGTTTAAACTTAATTCAAAAACCCGTTGTTGGGCCGGCCCCATGGCTTAGCCGTTAAGTGTGTGCGCTCCGCTGCTGGCGGCCCGGGGTTCGGATCCCGAGCGCGCACCGATGCACCGCTTCTCCGGCCATGCTGAGGCCGCGTCCCACATACAGCAACTAGAAGGAAGTGCAGCTATGACATACAACTATCTACTGGGGCTTTGGGGGAAAAAAAAACAAACCCATTGTTGTTATCAACACAGAACTGTGTGCCAGCCCTTCAAGCACCTGTAATCTAGATAAGGATGGAGGGGGCACCTGCGCTGACAAGCAGAATGTATGTTATTACAGGGTACCAGGAAATATGAACGACAAAGCTGATAGCTGGAATTAGGGGCTATGACCTCCACATGCGCAATGAGGAAACTGAGACTTAGAAGGTCAGTGGTTTCCCAGGGTCATTGAGCTGGGAAAGGCTGACCCCGGAGTTGAATGTGAGCAGCTTCACTGCAGAGCTCTTGCTCTTAGTCACCGTGCCATTCTGTGCCCTTTCCAGCAGGCCCAGGAATGTCTTGGTGTCAGCGCCCACATTTGCTTCGTTGAAAAATCATGAGAAATAAGGAGAGCTGGGTTCACTTTCGGTAAGACACATCCATTCCTTTTTCCAACACACTTTTCTTTCTCTCACATTCAATCAATCACCGCTTGCTGAGAATGCATCTAGGTCTGAAGCACTATGAAATTTCTTTTCCTTTCCTTCCAACTTCCTTTCTTTTTTGCTCAGAAAATCATCTGGACAAACCTTTTCCTTCCGGCTCATACTCTGATTGACTTCCAAATTCCATCTCTCCAGCCCTCTCCTCAGGTGATCACATTGCTGCCTGTTTTGACCAGTTACAAGCAGAAGGCACGATCCAGGGAATACCTGGCCCTGGGCTGACCTCAGTTCCGGTTCCTGATGCCGGGTCCTTGAACTAATTAACCAGGCACGTGGAAATAATCTCTAGGGCCAGAGCCCCTGGAACCCTCCCTATCTCTTCTCTTTCTGAAGAGAACAATTCACCAAGCCCAGAGTACTTCTTTCTGTTCTGTCTTGGACTCCAGGTGCTCAGATCTTGCCCTCAGGCTTCCTAGACTCCCAGCCCTTCACAATCCTCGGAATACCTGCTCTCCTGATCGCTTTTGCTAAATTTGTTTTTAAACTTACCTTTCTTAAGAAGACAAGGTCTGAGACTATCCAGATGACTGATGTAGTGACAAGAGTTTGATACATACGATTACAAAAATTCCATCGGAAGCAGTTACCAGTTTTACAAAGACAATGTACCACCCATAAAGTTGAATAATCGTGCTGAATAGCCTCCATTTGGCCCTTTAGGATCTCCTCCCCTGTCTTCCCCACCTTGCAGGAGGGCTGACCTATATCGCGTGTATCAACGGGCTCTGGCTCTGGTTGGGTTTGCCAATGAAAGGGAGACAGAGGGATCAAGGCATTGACTCCTCAGCTCCTTTCTCATCAGACACAGCAGGCAGCTGCCTCCTTTGACTGAAGTTCGAAAGTCACAGTTCTTCTGGAAGGGGCCCTGACCACAGTGCTTTTTCTAACCACTCCACTTTCAGGTCTAGAAACGGTAACAGTTTCACTATTACTGGTTCTGGGTATTACAATGTCCCTTATAGTTTCCCTCCACTCTTCCCACGCCTTACCCTTTAGTAAGTCCTAATTTGAGTGTGCCATCTGTTTCCTGCTGGAGCCCTGACTGATACAATAATAAAAGATAACACTGAAAGAATGCTTATCATGCACAAGGTATTTGGTTAATATTTCATGTAGATTATCATTTCATGTTCACAAAAACTCTGTGAAGTAGGCACAATTATTAACCCCATTTTACAGATGAGCAAGGGAGACTTAGGTCCAACATATTGCCCAAAGCCATGAAGTCAGGTGGCACTGGTGCAAGACTTTGAATTTATATATTTAATTGTCTCTCAATACAAATTAGATATATAGGGGTATCAAAATTCATTCAGAGCTCCTTCTCTCTTCCCAGGGGTCAAGGCTACAGCTGGTGGGAGATGGGA